CTCTTCTCTTAAAAAATTTGTTTTTCTTGTTGATTTTTAGATTTCTTAGTTCCATTACTCCTGCATTTAATATACGTTTCTGATTGTACTTCTAACAGCTCATTTATAAATACAAAAATAATATTTGGGTACATGTGGTTTTTTTTTTTATTTTTAATTTATTCATTTTTTTTTGTGTCATCAGCTTTTAGGACAGTAAAAGTGCATAGATTTTCTTCAACAGTATCTTTTCTGGTAGGAAAGTGAATCTAGTTGGTACTTTGGGGGGTCAAAAGTAAAATTTTTCCAGTAGTTTTCAAACGCGCTGTGGAAAACAAAAGAAAAATTAAGGAAAATCGGAAATTTTTACGCAAAATCTGTTTTCGAGAAAATCGATTTTGGTTTTTTGTGGAACTCTAAAACAAATACACCGTAGATACATGAAATTTTTACTGACTGTTTATATAAGCATTTTCTATACACCATGCCTTTTTTAAAATATTTTGACTTATTTTGAGCTGTATAGGGACATTTTCAGTTTCCAATTTTTTTAGTTTTTTATTCTATAAATATCAATAAAATATTATTTGTTAGTTAAAAAAAGCTTGAAAATTTTTTTTTAATTACCTACAGATTTCAGCTCTTCCATATTTGCCAGCTGCTGCAAACAATGTTACACCATTAACGGAAGATGGCTTCCTCTCAATTGTTGCATACTTGCATATAGGTATATCAATAAATTTCCCGAATTGGATAATAAACCATTTTTAAATAATTATATTTGAGGATATTGATTTGTAACTATAGGTCCAACTGCTGTGACGTGTTACAACCAAGATATACGAACCAAAAATTGTGTTTAGAGCTACCACGCTTCATTTTTGAAGCTAATAAAGTGTAAATGTCAGAAAATAACCGTTGTGAATAACTTCAAATATATGGGTATAGAAATGTGCTCAAACATGAAATGGCATGATCAAATAAATTCATTAACACAGAAAACCAGAAAAATGATCTATATAATGAGAGAATTTCAAGATATCCTAAATAAGAAAGAATTAAGATTAATTTACTTGGCACTGATTGAACCAATAATTTCTTATGGAATAATAGGCTGGGGAGGATCCTATGAGAACGCTCTCTCTAGATTACGATTACCAACTACTCAAAACACACTAATTAAGATCGCCTTAAGTAAAAACAAAACATACCATACAGAACAACTATATGAAGACTTTAATGTTCTAAATATCAAAAACATATATTTTAAATTAGCAGTCCTTTTCTTAAAAAAACATGATGTCCCATTACCCCTAAGTCATAATGTTGTTACCAGGTTCGCTAAAAATAATAATTATACAATGCAATGGCCCAGTGGCGTATATAGGGGGAGGCCCTCTAGGCCAGAGCCCATAGTGAAATTGCAGGTTCAATTAAAGCATTGCATGTATATCAACACTGTTTACAGTTTTTCAGCATGATTAAGTTAGCCGGTTGATTAAAATCGTTTTTGAGGAATCAACAAGGAAATGTTAGATTTTCAGGACTTGCTTTGATGACTTATAATTGACTTTGATGTTGAATTCTTAGTAAGATAATATTAAAATATATAAATGACACTGTGAATATTTTTTAAAAAAATTAATTTTTTATAGGTAATAATTAAATTGCGCAATTTTTATTTGTACCTACTGTATATGTCACAATTATAACCACCCAGCTCCTTAAAAATGAATAGTTATGACTTATGGCTATGTTAGTTGTGCTATGCTTGACTAGTGATAACTGATAAATTGGCCCATAGTAAAAATAATTTGTATATACGCCACTGCAATGGCCTCATAAAACCGGCACAAGAAAACAATATAAATTCATCGGTACAAAAATTCTAAACTTAATACCAAAACATTACCATACATTAACTCTACATAGGTTTAAGATAGACTTTAAGAAATGTCTTCTTTATGAATTCAACTCTAACCTATTATTATAACATACCTACCTTTTTTAACTGTTTATTTAATTTATATTATTTTATCTATTTTTCTATGTTCTATTTTATGTTTTTATACTCTAATCATAAGAAATCTACAAGTTTATATATCATGATTATTTTTTTTATTTTACGTTTAATTTTAATGTTTCACTAGACAGTGGGCACTTATTTTTACTTAATATTATATAATTAATATTTTTAAACAATAAAACATGTAATTTATACACTAGTAATTAATTATACTCTGGTACACATAATAACTCCTGGGCCTCCACACTAGAATACTCAGTGAGGCCCAGTATTCTTATCTTGAGAAATAAATTAATAATAATAATTCTAAAGTTTGAGAATTTCTATGTATGATTTTAAAAAAAATAGTTTTTTTCCCTTCAGTTTGCCCTTTTTGTGTTTGTTATAGTATATAGCAGGTAATATATACTTATTTATAGTTTTGGAAATAATGAGTGTTCAATGATAAAAAAATCACCCGGTTTAATATGTCAAGCAATTAATTTTTTTTTTATTTCAAGAGGAGAAAAAATAACTGATAATTGAATATTATTTAATATGTTTTTTATCTATGTTGCATGAATCTATGTTTTAACCATAATAAAAGCTTTTGTTTTATAGTAGATAATATTAGTAGCAAACTATCGTAATCACAGATATAAATAATTAATGAGATTGCTAACTTTACTATGCAATATTGTGAAGTTATTATCCGCCATTTTGAGTAGGTCAAATGTATGCCGAAATGCCACCAAAATTTTAAATGCTTGTTTAAAATATTTGAAATTTAAATTTTTTTGTTATTGCTTTTCCTTATTATTCAGTGGAGACTTTGAGACTGCATTTCCTCTTCAAAAAAAGTTGCCATGGGCTGCAGTTTGAAGACTCATGGTGTAAGACATCATATTTTTAATTATAAAATATAAATTATATATTCAATACAATGTAATGCGTTATATAATAGGTATATTATATTATTATGTATATTGTATTTTGATAATTGCTTTTGTATTGAATACAACATTTTTGTACTTACAAAATAATACAATATCTACAATTTAATACTCAAACCGGTACATTTTTAAACTTTTCACACTGCAATAAAATGGCATGTAGCAGTCATTTAAGCTACAATTCTTTCAAATTAAAAAAATGTATTTTTTTATGTTTTGTGCTACCTTAATTAATGATATTGAAGATTTTAAAAAATAATTAAAATATGACTCAAAGGTACCACAGATTATATTAAATATTATGCTGGTACTATAATTATTACATGTATTTATTTTGCAAACAATAAATCATTTTGGTCATCAAGGAAAATATTTTTAAGAATTCAAATAATTTAGACAGTCATTTAGTACATAATATATTTCTTTTTCTTTTATTTCGATATATAATATCCCACGCATTGCACAATGAAGAATAATGACTAACAGCAAAATCAATATGAGATAAAAACAACAAGTCATATTTAAAAAAATTAATACTCTTGGGAAAAGTATACTTAAGTAATATTATATATATATTTATATTATGCAACTGGTTATGGGCTGTGTGACATACAAAGCAGACCATTAACAATATTATTTTGTTGCTTACAAAATGTTATTTATATTTTTCCAGTTTTATATTCACAAAAATAAATTTTAAGTATAGTTTCTAAAAGGCTAGAATAGTATTATAATATTGATGGGACTTAAATTTATATACAACAATACCTATTTTATTTTTCTTTCTTTTTTTTTTTAAAAAATACTAAAATATAAATACAAAATAAAAAACAAAATTTACAAAAAAAAAAAAAAAAACAAATTTGAGTAACACTCATACTTGCAGCAGTCAAATTATAACTTTAATATAAATGTATTATATATAATATCATTAAAATTACTTAACTGTTCTATTAAAATAAATATACTTAAGTAAATACAATGACAGTATGAACAAAAAAAAAATGTATTTACACGGTGTTTATAAGCACATTAATTTATAATGGCACATACCTAATTTGTTCTGATAATAATTATGTTCAACGTATTCTTGACCTATCAATCTACACTCATGCCCCATCAATTAATTTTCATAAATTTGAACCTTGTTGAAAATAGGAACCAGGCTCAAATCTAAAAAAGTTCATAAATTATAGAGCATAATATCCGTGACAGGTTTGCTACAACTCTCCATGAGTGTACACGAGAGGTCAAGATATTAAGTAAAATACCGGACAGTCTTGGGTCAGTAAACAATCAAAATACAAAACATAAAAAAAATAAATATAGAAAATTGATCTTTTATAATGAAGAAAAAATGAGGAACATGTGTCTTTTTATCGATGTGCGTTCAAATTAATACTGTAATAGGTTTAATGCCGTAATTATGTTATCACCACACAAATGTTTTAAAATTAGATTTTTTTTTTTTTAAAAACGGGTCCTTATAGGGAGTTATACATCTACTATCCCGCACACATCATTTATGTATAATTGGCTGTATTTATACACTAAGTGAGAATGTGAGATTATACGTGGGTAAGTGACAAACTCCGATAGTTACACAAAGTTATGGCGCAATCTAACATAATACAAATAAAACAAGTTATATTAAAGAATATTGTAGGAGACATATTTTACATTTCCAATGTTATAAAAAAAAAAACTAGCAGCAATACGAAATTTAAAAAAAAAGGTAGATCATTTTACAAATGATTTTTTTAATAAGTGCATTTTGTCATTAAGTTAAGCCATATGCGTTCATCAATGAAATGGAATATCTCAACACTCGTCAAGATAGCAAATAAAAATTGTTTTCACACATAGATTGCATGTTATAGAACACAAAGGCAGTGTGGTGGAAACTGAATATAACTAAAGTTTAAAATATGGTCTAAAGATGGATGTTGAGCACAAACAAAATTTTGAGATCTGATGACACCTTAACAACACAACGACATTTTGTTTATGTACAAGAACAATGTCAAATTAAAACACTATACACATAGGGCAATGCACCGCATCTAAACGATAATTTCTCTGATTATGCGTCGCGTCCGTGAATTTGGTGTAGAATATCCAGACTCGAGACTTTCGTCATATGACATGGACAGATGTGGTTGAGGTTTCATGTGCTCCTCATTGTCAATTAGCTGCTCGAGGTAAGGGTCAGGCAAGCCACTCACGTCACCGTATGGTGATTCTAAACAAAAATAAATAGGTTTCAATTAATATTATAGGTGTTGAAACGTTGGGTAGTCTTAGAAGATTATTGTACATACCAAGATGAGGGTCCCGTCTGCGGGTTTTATCGGCCGGTTGTAAATGACCGCTATGAATATAGTCTTGCCTTGAAGGTACGTGACTGTGAGTGCTATAATCGGGGCTGGCAGATGTGAGTTGTGGATAGTGTGCGTAATCATCCATATTTCCATAGCCACCATGAGTCAATGGATCATAACCTCCTGTAAGAATAAATCAATAATCAATATTTATTACAAACTCGATAAAAATTATAACATAATGCTGTTTATGTTGTTTTGTTTGTATAAAGAATTGAAAAAACAAGTTAATAAGACATCTAAACTTTAAAGTGGACTTGAATCCATGTACATTTTAAATAAACCTTTAAACATAATAGATATAATAATAATTATAAAATATAATCACCATAGTGGTTCATGCGTTCAGCCATATGTAAATGATCATCACGAGAGATGTGTGTACCACCAGTACTACCATTACCACCCATTTTCAATTGCCACAGAGAATCTTGAGAGTTAACTGAACCACCATTATTTGAATTGGAATAACTGTTTTCTACATATCCAACATTGACCCCTGAAAAAAAAATATATATATATATTAGTAAACCCATGGGGGTATATTATTTTTTGTATCAGAAATATCTCAATTTCATATAACTATTTATTATTGTTGAAATAAAGCTTTACATTCATTCATTAATTTAGTCATTATTTATTAAAGCTTACATTCACCATTCGGACGCAATCCGTTGCCCGTGTGATAAGTGTTGTAGTCGTTTTGGGATCCATACACACCATTTTTAGTGACATCATGAACTAGATCTACAGATTGCTGTAATGCTTTGTTGTCAAGGCCAGGTTCGGTATAAGGTGGGGGTCCATGTATAATACTAGGGTGAACGCTGAAAATAAAAAGCTCATATGAAAAAACATAACCAACAGATTTTCAATATCAACTGATATCATTCAAAAGCATCAAAGATAGTATAAGACACTAAAATCTAAAAGTACAACAATATTTAAGAAGCATTGTCTAACCTAAACGTGAATGGCAAATGGCCCAAAATGTATAATACTCACCAATTACAAAAACGCCAAATGTAGCGTGTAATCATAGAAAGAATAATGTAAAATATGAATAATAGTGGTTTTACAAAGAAGGTATTATAACAAATTAAATTTCGGGTTATACACTACGAAGATTAGTTCATTAAACATTAACATCAAAACCATTTAAAACTACTACTTATATAATATATTAGTGCAAGTACAAAAATAAATATTTTTCAAAAACTGATTCAAACTATTGTTAATAGAATGATTAGAATAAATATTTTTATATTATATTGTAAGATATTAAAATAATTGTAAATACATTTTTAATAATAATGTAGTATGCACTATATTAATCTTGTAAATACCTAAATAAATCAAGTAACTATGTATCTATTCTGATACAAGAGAATTCAAAATATCAAAATAATAATTTAATTTAAATTCACATTTTTTTTAAATTTAAATTTGAAGCATTTAATAAAAGTAAACGAGTGTTCAAATTATTGTAGTAACCCATTGAATATACATTGTATTAGTTAAACACTAAAACTAGGTATACATACAAGAATAGGGAAACAAAATGGTTTAGAGAACTTACGTTGAAGAATCCATTTCATATTCTTTGCCCGTAGTTTTCTTGGCTGTTTTGCGCTTGCAACGACAGAAAATAAACAAAAGTGCCACAAATAGAATGAAAACAGCGCATGATATGACCAGAGCAATTAGTGTAGGAGTTGCCATCGCTTGTTGTTCTTTTACAAAATTTGCACCAACTAAAAAGAAAATAATAATTAATAACTTCATTCTAAAATAACTCATTGCCTAGCAGAATTTTATATCAAGAATACTTACTTTCAGCTTCTGTGTAATCACCACATGTGGTCTGACTGGACCGAAGACACAATCGAACTCTAATGCGGACATCATCTGCAGGTTTATCAATTAGATCTTCATCTTCACTACCAGCAATTAAGTTTAGATCATCTTCATCCAATGAACGAGCGCCAGAGCTCTGGCGACGTGAAACTAAAGATAGTATGGTAGCTTCACGGTGTGTGGATGTGCTGCCACTAACTGCCAGTGGCAATGTTTCAATCAAATGCCAATCTTCGCGAGCACCTCCCATAGATGCTTCGACAACTCCAACCTAAAATAAAAATTGTTATGTTAAATTCCTTTAAATAATAATAACTTAAATTTAGATTCAAGAAGATGGCAATATACAACTTTTATAAAAAACTGAACTCCATTCAGAAATTTTTCAATGTATAAGATAATGTATAAGATTTTTGTTGTTGTTAAGAAAACTATTAATTTGTTCAAATAATTGTTATTGGTATAGAAATATTAATAAGATTAAGGCAGCAGAGATATGTTTGTACGTAAAATGTATACCTACATTTTTTGTTCATCGTAGTAAGTTATTCAATATTCCGATAACAATTTCGAAAACATATTATACTTTTTGCTTTTTTAAGTTCCTATCAACTTCTTTTTTAGCATTATTTAAAATTAAAATGTATAAATATGTCTTGGTTAAAAATTGACATTTATGTAAAAGTAGAAAAACAAAAATATCTACGTAATTTAATGTCATTGACAAATTTAACCTGTTTTCAGAAATTTTAACCGGTAAATTGATCTGGATGGACAAATAGAACATACTTTTAGTGCAAAAGCGTACTCATGGTGCATTAGTACATGCGTGTGATGAAGTTACACGTTATGATATGTGTAGTGTACACGCATACTAATGAACATTTACTAAGCATACAATCACAGAGTTCGTACGTGCATATTCCTCATATTGCCTAAAATTAACTCCTTAAAAACAGACCGTTTGTTTTGTAATCCCTTTAATATAAATTTCTTTATTGTCAGAATTATTGTGAATAAAAATTAGACCAAAGTGTTTTGACAAAGAGTCATAAACATTTTTATGACACTTGGTTTAAACTTTTCCAAACTATTAAAATGACAAGAATTAAAATTAAAAGAAAATTTCAGAGTAAAGTTAAATCTTACTAGTTGTAAACAAGTTGCGCCGATGTTGATTGTTAAAGCATGAGATTCAGGATCAAATGTTACACGTTGAGGAGCTGGTATACGATCCACTTTAGTCATAGCTACTGTCTCCTGTGAATACTCGCTATGCCCTTTGGTATTGTAAGCTTTTACCTGAAAATAAATTAAAATTTTAATTGGGTTTCATATTCAATCCTATATATTTAATGATTACAGCCCACTACGTATAATAGCAAAAGTAACACAATATTGCATATATATCACACAACATGTGGTTAAATAAAAACCAAATAAAAAAAATAAGCTTAAAAACTAGGTATCTCAAAAGCATAATAATTTATTAATTATGGCTCCAACTCGGTTCTGTTTGATAATTTGTTCTTTTACTACACTTATCTGTTTGATATAAATTTGTTCATCCACGATGTATTTAATTACTCAACTCTTAAGTTGATTCATATTTTTATTTTCATTTTACCTGTTATTTAAAAAAAACAATATTTACCTTGAATAAGTAACTTTGATGTTGATCCAAGCCAGTCACGTTGCATGGGTTTTTAGTTTGGCAATCGAACTCTTGCCATCTTTCCGGCTGATTGGACCTCTTGACCGAGTAGCAATCACTGTCGAATTCGTTTTCATCCACGGAAACCTTTTTGTAGTTTACAAAGTGTTTGGTATTGATAACACCGCCGTTGAAACCGCTGCTCCATTGTAAAACGACATTGTTGTGGCCAATGTCGAAAGCTGTTACGTTTTCTGGATGGTCAGGTGGTCCTTTAGGTTGTAGTTTGATTGTAGGCTTTACGCTTCCCAAAGTGTTGGCTACACGACAACTGTAATCGCCATAATCGGTCTCTCGGAGGTTGGATACTTGCAACACGCTAGTGTAAATGTCACCACCGCTTTCGTTTATGGTCGTGTTTATTTCGTAGTGACCGTCGCTGCCGGCTAGCAAAGGAGCCATGTGATTGTTGTAACTCCACTGGAATTCCGGTCGAGGATACGATTGCACCCGACAAATGACTTCGGCTGTCTCGTACAAATCACTGGCTACTTTGTTGAATTGGTGGAGCACGATGGGTTCGTCTGTTTCGGAGAAAAAAAACAATATAGCAATTAATGTCTGACGAAAAAAATACTTAAAACCATTGTAAAACTACGACTTACGTTCGATTCTGAGGAGCATGCTGGACTCGACTTTCTTGACGTCGTTCTCGAACGCGCAGGAATACACCCCACGGTCCGACGGCACCAACTGGTTACCTCGAGGTCTCTCCTTGCCGTGGAACTTGAGAGTACTGTGCACGGTGGTCACCCCGTTGCTGTTATCCGTCTCGTCGGTGCTCACGTCGAACCAATCCGGCAGAACTTCTTTGCCGTCCTTGAACCAGGTGACCGCGGGCTTGGGCTTTCCCTGCGCGGCGCAGATGGCCGAAAATCCGATGTCCGATGCGCGCCTGGTAACGTGCGGCTGCAACTTGGTAACGAACTTCGGGGCGTGGTGGACGGTAAGCAGCACCGAAGACGCGTCGCCGTTGCCCATCTCGTTGATCGCCTGACACCTGTATCGGCCCTCGCTGCCCAGGTGCACCGACGGGATGGTGTATTTCGGGCCGGTGGACAGTATCGTGGCGCTGGTGGACGGGTCGCCGTTTGAGTCGAACTCGCGCCACCACTTGTACTGCGGTGTCGGCCAGCCGGGCGGCGACGCCGAGCACGTGAGCGTCACGCCTGTGCCCTCGGTGGCCACGGGCCGGTCGGGTGTGATGCGGGCCACGCCGGGCCGGTGCCGGACGAGGAGCGTGAGGGACGCGTTGCCGATGCGGTTAATGCGCTGCCGAGACAACGACGATGGGTACAGAATGTTGATGGCACGGCACGTGTACACGCCTCCAGAGTCGGCGGTCACCTTGGGTATGCGGAGCACGTCACCGGATTGTCGGAAGTCGGGACGCCCGTCCCGGATCCACTCGACGGATATCGGCGCCGGGTTGGCGGAAACGTTGCACTGGATGGTGATGCCGTCTCCTTCCTCGGCCTCGCGCTGCCTGGCCGCTCCCGGTCCCACGTCTACGGTCACTACGGGCGGGTACTGAACGTCCAGCACCAGTTCCGCCTCGCGGGTCTGCCCCAGTCCGTTGTCGGCCATACACGTGTACGTGCCCGCGTCCTGGGTGGTCACCTTTTGGATGACGTGCGTGAAAGACGTGGCTATGAAACGGTCGTCGCGCATCCACCGTACGTTGTTGACGCGTGGCTTGGCGTCCACGTTACATTGCAGCGTGATGGACTCGTCACGTTCCACTCGCAGCGGGTTCTCCGGTCCGATCTGGACGCGAGGGTAGTCTGAAATCGGAAATGCGACCGTTAAGAGGACATGCAAATAATACGTTTAACGCCTGTCGACTACAGCCGATTTTACGTAGAGAAATTATAGAGATAAAACACCCCCTTGACACGAAAAACAAAAGATACCGTTTTTTTAGAAGGCACCTCATCGTTTGAAATATTATATTAGCAAACAGTTAAAAATGTAGAAAATTAATTAATTCTCAATAATTTTAATTAATGTAGGTAATGAAAATTGAAAACCCGATTATTTAGATGCAAATTGAATTTTAAGATATTCGTTATATCTTATATTATTTTAATACCTATGTGTTTTAACTCTAAAATCACAATATAACTAATAGTATAATATATTGGCTATGTATGCGTCACTACCTATATTTTATATAAAATGTCGAAAGAACGCTACACCCAACAACGGCAATGAAATGAGATACCTGCTAGGTACTTTGAATATATTATTTAAATATTCATTATTTTTAAAACGTTCTTAATTAATACATTCTTATAAACGTCTCGAAATTATTATACCCGGATTTTGGAATGTATCAGTGTTTTTATTATTATTATTTGAACATAATCGAAAATACAACACGGTATTTCCGTCCATACAAATGTATACAAGCTTTGATTTATCAACACTATGATTAGTCGGTTAGATTCTACTGCACCCTCTAATATAGAACCGTTAATAAACTAACACCAACCATCAGGCGACTACAGTTAATTCTGTTTAAACAAGACGTCGAATAAATCTCTCGTCACTTATTTTAAAAGGGCCGTCAGTGTTGCAATGCAGCGTGGGCTGTGCATTCAAACATATTATATCTGTGCATCGAAATGAAATCAATACATTAAACTATTTTCGGATATTAAGAAGCCACGTGGTTATCGTTCATCCTGAACACCCTAGAAATTATTTTTAGATCCCAAACAAATCTATTGATAGTACTTACAGTTTACACTCAGTGTGGTCCTAGTTTCGAACTTTGTGCCTTCGACCATAGCCCTGTTCCACACCACGCACCGATACACTGCACCATCGTCTTCGCGAGTTGGCGTCACTTGCAAAACGGCTGATGTGATGGATTCCTTGGTGCTAGTACCACTTCGTGTCACAGAATCGATAGGATCACGAACACCTTCACGATACCATCTGACAATAGGTTCGGGGCTGCCACCAGAACTTGTGCAAGACAACTCTAACGCACGTCCTTCGGTAGCCACGGGGTTGGTTCCGGGTGAGATACGTGGTGGACTAGGTGGTGTTAATACAGTGATTTGGAAACTCTGTGAATGAATTTCTCGGCCAGTACCAGCTTCCTTCAATCGACATTCGAACTTGCCGTTATCCCTCTCATACGTCGAGTTAGAAATTAGTAAATCATAAATTCCTAGTTCAGGACGGAAATCGAGTCTAAAAAAAAATATACATAATTATAGATATAATTTATAATACCAAAAATGCGTCAATTATTGAAGTTAAAATTAAGCAATATATACTAATATTAAAAAAAAAAATTTCAAAGAGTAAATATTTTTTTTAAATAACAGTAAGTATAACATAATATTAATAAATCGTTAAGTTTGCTACTTACTTATAGTTGCCTTCCAACGGAGTCGCTTTGATAGCTACATTATCTTGGTTGTGCTTGTTAGTCCTAAGCCAATAATATTGGGTATCTGCAACAGTTGACGGCAGCTGTCCATTGAATCGGCATTTCAGTGATATGTCTTCGCCTTCTCTGGTGTCGGTAAGTCCTTCTTGTCCCAGGCACGACCATCCTGTAGACAAAATAACGAAGACTTCATGAGTAAAAATGTATAATTGTGTTGACCATAATAATATTATCATAATATACAATTTAAAAACGCGAAACCGCATTATAATAATATATTATAGACTCGTATGCTGGTAATGAATAATGTTTATGTATTAATTTTCATGTAAAACACAATTACTCAAATCATTTTTATAGTCTCCCACCGGGTGGGTTTCGCAAACGCGACGTGTGTCTTACACGATAGTTTAGTAGGAGATAAAAAACGCACAGACTATGCTGGAAACTGATGGGTGGGTGTGGGTGGAGAGGCGCCCAAAACCCGAATGTAAGCTACAGGCATCTTTCTGACAAACGGCCGGCCGGCACATTAAATGGTAATCAAGAGAAATGAGTGTCGTCGTTTCGGAATGTGGTACACTGGTATAGGTATGTCTACGTAGGTATAATACGCTCATGTAATGGCCAACAAAATTGCTTGTTTACTACCAGTCGGCCAGTGGTTACGATTTTATATGTACTTAATTTGCAACCACCGCGAAACGTTCGCAGCTGATGGAGTTTTGCGAGTATTTCGCCCGAACATAAATTAAATATTAATTAATAATAACAAAACCTAACCTAGCTCATTGGTGCAACAAACGGCGAAAATAAGGGGCCCGGACTGCGGGGTACGTGTATTTATATCTGTTATATTATTATAATGCTTGATATGAACTTACAACGTATTAAAAACTATAGGTACCATTACCTACTACCTACTATTTTATGATTATTACTAAGCAACCACTACAATATAAAACTGCGGATAAATTCATATTGTTATACAGACGAATGGTTTGTTCATTGAATTTATATTATGTAGGTAACTATAGGTACGCATATATTGCAGGCAAATACTGCAAAGGAGTGATGCCCGCACGGGGATGGCCGGGCGTAATTATTTATATGGAACTACGGCCAGGGGATAAGAGAGCAAATTTAGTTATCGTTGACTGGACACGGTGAGACGAAACTGTCGATGAACCGGGAAATTTATCGGTTTAATGATTATATATTATGATGAACAGACAACGATCATTGATGGTATAGTGTTTTTTTTTTTCGTTGGGTAATGGAAATTACAGTGGGAACTGTAAATAAATCATTTTCCATTACTTAAACTGCACGATCTGTCTCGATTGAAGCATTAAACTAACATTTGTCGGAGAAAAAAAATCACAACAGTTTATTATATTCCATTTGAATATTTCAATTTATTTTTCTAGAAAACTATCGTTCGTTCCAGACGAGTTCAACCATCAACCGTATAATTTAGATACAGTTTTGTTTGGCAATCGCACGCCAACATCTCTTCGGTAGGAAAAAAATACCCTTTTTGTGTTCTTTTAACCCCAACACGCGTGTACACAAGCTGTCACAGACTTTAGAAGAACCATCCATTACCAACTAAGGGAAAAGGGCACAATTTTAATTATTTACAAACAGCCCTCTCCCCACAAAACATACAACCAATAGTACTACGTATTGCATGATGCCAAATAATTGCCCGAGAAAAACATATCATTCATCTAAGAGAAGTAGGTACTTATTTCACTTAGTTTTTCATTTCATTGAACAGCAATATGGAAAGAAAAATCTAAAATATTCGTTAAGGCGAAGTAAAATTTATTATTCTAAACGCGACGTGCCAAGAAAACATTAAAAATAAAATTAACGATTTACAAATATTACGTTGTAGTTGGTAGATTTAAATAAATAATATCGTATTATGGATGTTACATTAAAGAAATCTGGCCGAGTATTATATTGTTATGATGACTACCACGTAATACATACGTACTGTGCATCATATTATAAAGAATAATATTATATGTATAATGTATATTAGATATAAGTAAAACGAAGAAGACAAACGACCGTGACATGCGGGACACAACGACGAATTTGGCTGGCAGTAGTAAGCTATACAACGATCGAATTGTAATAAGAAAGAGTTGCGGGAAGAAGAGAAATAATAATAACCATAAAATACATCATTCAAATTAGAAGCAACGTAGGACACTAGGACGACGGCGGACTGTACGGATAACAATAATGTCATCAATGCAGAGAGGATAAAACGTGGCAATTAGTGGTGATTGACGATTGTGATTTAAATACAGAAATCTCGCGTAAATATTGAACCCTATGGTAAAAACCTCGTAGAAACACAATAGATCCAGAGACGACGACGAACCTACAAACCACACACAAGGCGATCGTTCCGTACGTGTGGGCACAGTGAACGGTGGTGTGTTATTCATAAGACGATACGTGCGACGTGCCGACGACGGTGTTGAGCGGCCAATTTTTTTTTCATCGGATCGGTATTTCGGCGGGCCAAGTATTTTACATAATGTTTCAAAATGTATACCGAAATACGCGTTATATATGATATAGTGTAAGCGTATTTCTCGTGTGTCCGAGAGTCGATTTCTTAAGCTCATTGTTATTCATAATAGGCGAAGGTAACCAAATCAGCTACGGTGGCTTACACACTCAAACACACACACACATATGCGCGCGCGTACCGGTAGCATAGGACGTGTGAACGTCTTCCACGGAATCGTCTTCACACGGCTGCGAGCCATTACAAATTCGTCATCACACTCACTCTTTGAATATAATATAAATTATTATTATTATACCAAGTCGGTATGGTAAACGCAGTGTACGACGGTGATGACGACGACGACACATTCTTCAGCAGCGGAGCACACGCGATCGAAAAAAGGACAACAGGTAACGAGACCGGAGACACACACACACACACACACACACACACACACCTCGAATAACGAATTTGTGGTAGCCATGCCGCAACAAAAAGGGTTACCGCGGTCGATGTGCAACGGGCGGGTGGTGTGGAGTGTGGTCGCGATATCATTATATTATACCTATACTGTATACATAATATAACACACGCACTACAAACATGCAGCGGTCTTTGGTGTGTGCACATGCACATGAGCCACGAATTATTATTATTATAATATAGTATGTGTGTACTACGGTTTGTCTCGTGTCGGAGGAAGAGGCGTATGAAATATTATTATATTATAACATACGACTAGGGGTTTGTGCACGCGGGGGCCACAAAGGCTACTCCACCTCCCCATCATGAGCACCCTTGTAAAAGGGGATGAATGTCATAAAGGTTACACGCGACTGACTACGCGAGTGTGTTTTACCGCCGTCGACAATATACGCGACAACAGTTGCACGAGTGCGATAACAATAATAATGTTCGACTGCAGACGCGCGCGAAATCATAATATATCATACAATATTTACGTTTTCGACGTGCACGAGGAAGCACACAGTACGACTGATCGGTGATCTTTTTTTTTGGCACGGACCGTAAAATAATATTATCACACCGTCGGCGGGCCTCCCAGCGACTTTCGGCTTTTCCCGTCCACCGCGATTTCCGCGCAGTTCGTGGTGTATAGTGATTAATTAATATTTTCTCCCGATCGTCGTCATGTCATTATTACACCATCGTGTAGCCATCGCATTACACGTCTGCCGGCGCTTCTCCGGTACAATGTAATGATAAAAATATTATATAATATGTAACGAGTTGTACTCGCCGCCGATTCTTCTTGGTTTTCCTTTGTTCGGTTTGTATAGGTTCGCCGCGTCCCCGGGTATAGGAGGTATGGGTACTAAATTAAAAAAAAAAATCTTCTTCCATATATATAATATTACCTAGATTCGGTCTCGATAATGCAATATATATGTAGGTAGACCTAACCTTATTCTTCATCTTCTTCCATTTCTCGTAACGATTTTCGAGGTCATCACGATTAATCAGAGCCGCTACAGCCGATGGAAGGGCAGGTGGCGGCAACACGGTAAAACATCTGTCCGGGCGGTTATTTCGACGCGCGGCCAGTCGGTTTCACGCCCGCCGCCCATGCCGCCAGCCCGCGCGATAACGACGATGACACGACGAGCACCTGTTGAGCACCACGACAGCAGTTCATGCCACCACCGCGCGCTCTTTTCTCTCTCAGTCTTCCTTCCAACAACAACCCCCGACGGTAATGAAATGACCAAAACGGATTGATAATTATTGTTATTTGTGTGCCCGCCCCCACCACGCCTGTACTTAGTTATATTTCCGAGAAATTCAACAGCCATCATCATCGTCGTCATCTAACGTTGGGGTTTATTTTACGACTTAGGGCCGTAGGCGCCAAAAAATAATAACAACAAACCAGCTATC